TGAGATATCTCATTCCACCAATGGCTTTACTAAAAAGATTATTCTTTATGAAGAGAATGGATTTGAATGTGGCTGACCTGCGAGCCTGTCCACTTTTTCAAGTATCTCATCCAGCAATTCACTTATTACTTCTCCGGAGCTTTGTGAGTCGGTTGATATCTGCAGGTTAGGATCAACAGGAAACGAAGTTTCGCCTTCCACCACTCCCCCAAGTCGAACTTCATTCTCATCGTCATTATCATTCTTGTCACCGCTGCAATCAAGTCCACATTCTTCGTTGACTTCTAAACAGTGGATTATTAACAACAAGAAAAAAAAACAATAAAACGCGTGCTTTTATGGAATGCATATTCAATCTGTTAAAGAAACATGGGTGCACAGTGGAAATGACGTTAGAATCTCAACAAACAGACAAAGATCTCTAGATTCCTAAACGAATTCATAAGTAAATGTGTGCGCCTTCTTTAACTTAGTCAATACAGAGAAGATCGTGGCTTTCGTGGTTTTTCAGTGACTTCGACTGGGCATTTGTATCGTAGACTTAACCACATGCAAAGGAACTATGCAGTCGCTTTATTTTTTGCCCGCCCTGCCAACACAGCCTTTTCTGTTTACTAAATAAATGGCTAACAGACTGTGGGCTTCGGACTCACCTGAAGGACTGTTGTCCCATACTAGTGCCGCCAAGCCAGATTCAGCTGTTCCCATCAGATCTTCTGTCTGGACCTCTGCATCCTTGGTTTTCCGTTCCCCGCACATCTCATACTCGTTGACGCCGTAAATAGAGGTTTCTGGAAACATAATAACAAATAAGTTTTTGTCTTGTGAACATGTCGCATTGATATATCAAAAGAAGGAAAATTAACGCGTGCTTTGACCACTCGCAGTTTTGACAATTTTTTTACTGTCTATGACTTTTAAAATATCATTGACAAAACCAACCTTTTTGGCCTGGCTTTAGTATCTTTACGCCACCGATCTGTGTTTTAAGCAAATCAAATAGATTATACTCAAAAGAACATGCGAGATTGTCGGTTTCTGCGGGCTCCAGCTCCCACTTCTCCATGAAAGCGGAGATCTCATAGACGAGACTGAAAATGTTGGGCTTCTCGTCAACCAATGCAGTGTCATTCTTTTGACACCCCTCGATCAAAGAAAGCAATAACTCACACTTGTCCTCAATACCTGACATGACCCTACACAAAAAATGAACATAAAATTACGCTGGAGTTTGTCTCTTACAACTTCTCTCCAGAAATCGCGTCCTTACTGATCGTACTGTTACTGTTAATTAAGCTCGTGCTTGAAGTAGGATGGGGTGATTTTTATTGAATGTTTAAAACAAAGTGATTTTAGCGGCTAATCAGGCAAAATGGGAGATGTTACATGGAGCAGATTGGAACTGAGAGTGATCAAGGGAAAGCGACCTCAAGAGCGCGATTTGACTTTAAGTATTTCCAAAGGTTTTGAAGTCCTAAGTCGATTGCAAGCCTCAGTGAAAATGACTTTCAGGGTAATTGCCCGTATACACTACGTAAAATAATTAAGCTCCAACGCAATCAATAATCAATCTTCCAGAGCGCAACAACACCATGAACACAGAGTTCAGGATAAATTTGAGGTGGATTGAGAAGCCTTGAGTTTTACATCATTCATCTTCAGTCTCTGTACCATTTTAAAACTATATCCATCAATGATAATCAAGAGATTTTTATATTCTCTTGTGATAATATAAATTTACACTAATTATCATTCTCAATTTAGACTTCTTTCGTAATTGGCGGCTCTATTTGCAAGAATTTTTTTCAATAAAAAGTGAGGCCAAGGTTCATTTTCATGCGCATAAAGGTGCTGAAATTATCAAGCCATATGAAATATACCTCTCTTGATTGTCCAAGGACACTATCTTCTGGTTCGTTTTATCGTCAACAGCACCCCTCAGCGTTGTCTCTCCTATAGTCATGTACGCATGTAACAACGCCATGTGTTTTCCGATCCTGTCTTGCAGGTATTCTTGAGTGACCAGTATAGAATCTTTCGCGTCGATCACTTTTTCCTTTGACTTCGCAATCAGTTCAAGGTGCTCGCTTAATTTTTCAGGTACACTGCCTAGTTCCTCGCGTATCGTGCTGGCAACGTCGGTAACAATCTCGCATTCATGACCCACATGACTACCATAGACCTGGTTAAAAAAAAAAAAAAAACCAAAAAAAAGAAGATTTAACTTCTGGTTTGCGTGCAACTTATAATTCTCCACAACAACATTCTAATCTTCACTAGATCCATTTTGATCATCTTTGCGATCTGATTAGCTCTCAGCAGCGCGATTCGTACACGAATCACGGTACTACTTTTTTAATTTAAATTACATCCAATCACAGAGCGAGGTAAAGTAAACCATAGCAGTTCAGGGTAACTTTAAAGTCTCTGCTCGAAAACTGCTCTACGAGTAAACGAGTTAGTTTCCTATGACTTATGCAGGTCTTGTCTGCAAATTTACCTGGCAGTAAACGCAGATAAGACTTTTATCTGTGTGGCAGTAAACTTTTAGAGCTTCGTTGTGTTCCGAACAAAGATACTTCTTGCTTGCTACCCTAGAGACTTTTCTCGGAAAAAAACAATAAGTAAATATTACATGAGCAAACAACAACCGAGACAAAAATCAATGAGACCATAATACTGAGGATCCCAACACCTACTTTTGGGTCTTTGCACGCGCCCCTGAAGTATATAATCTTCTAACCTGAGTTCCTATGGAAAAAGCAGAGCTTCAATCAAAGCTTTTCGTGACTGATAACAAGCAAATATTAAAATGATAAGCGACATAAAACGTTTTCTTAAACAGAGCTTAAAAGTTCAGAACAAAAAAAAGGCAGGAGACGGTTGAAGGTGGCAAACCGTGAAGTTCTTAAAAATAAGATGCAATCTGATTCTCGAATGGTCAGTTTCGCGGGCAGCGTTCTTAGGCTGGAGGGAGATACCCAACCGGCCTATCTGATTTCTCAAGCCGGAGGAGTCACGAGGTTCTTCTACACATTCTGCGCACAAATAAAACTCGTCTATGATCTTAAATTTCCCGACGTGGGTAGGACTCCTATTTCAAAATAGCAAAGAACAAACTTTAAGACAGTTTGGCATTGTCGTGATACTTACTTCATTTGCTCCTAAGTAAAACCTCAGCCGCGGAATTGATAAGCGCTTTTTAGAGTGCTTGACAGCAAAGTGGTTTCAGTATTCTCAGTGATGTCATTTGAAGAAATTGAAGCAATTTCAGTAAAGACACCCATAACCACTTTTTTTTTAAGTGATGAGTCGTAAGGTTTGTTTTCTCGGCTCATTAGCATACTTTCCTTGCTGGGGGTCTAACCAACCCCATCAACCCGAGATTAAATAAAGTTTCATTTTATTCATTCCTGCCAACTTGAAATATCTGAATCAAGTGAATGACGATTTATCATGTCATAATTTTTTTTCAGTCAACCATTATAAACTAAAGTGATTTGTTTCTTTGGTGCCTTGGCTTTCTTCCCACTCAAATCATGTTCAAGACTTCATAAGAATACCATTCAGCTTCAACATTGTGTCTTCGTAACACACCTCTAAGCTCTTCTTATCATAATTTGACATGATAGTGATGCATTGATGTCTGCAATTGACGATAGTTGTGACGCCATCGCTGACCTGCATATAGTCAGTTCCCGGGACAGCCTGAAAATCAACAACGGTACTTTTTACCTCGGTAATCAAGAAGCATTACAGTCGAACCTCGATTGAGATGATGGCAAAATCCAGCTACCTCAGCTTAACAAACTTAGTTAAAGAATCGCCAGATCACGTTACAATTAAAAATTAATAATTGTTATGGTTTTCATTGTTCAGACCATCAGAAGATGTGTTTGTGACTCTTTTGTCGCGAAAACCACCTGAAAATTTTTGCTTGTAACAACAAAAGGTTGTCCTGAGATTTCAGAGAATGAAAAGTATTTGGTTAGCTAATCAAAAACAGCGTTTACTTCCTCTTGCCTGCTCCCAGAATCAGCCCCAAGACAGTTAAGTATGTCTCGCACTTACGCTGAACTTAACAGTTGTCCCTCTGTTACCTGATTTTCCTTTGAAACAAAAAGCTACAGAAATCAAAAAGAAAAAAATTAGCACTCAAAAGCATTTCAGACAACTGAAACATGGATAGGTAAAGAGGGAGGGTAAAGAAACCCACGTTCAAGTTCTCCACCCCGTTACTCACTCGATTTGTTCTTGGTTGTAACGACAGGCGGATAGACAGTGTCCACAAAACTGTAATCATTAGGGAATTTAAGAAAACCACGACGGCAACGAGAACGTGGAAAAACAGTTGATCTAATTGGCAGAACAATAGCCCAGCACGTGCGTTTTAAAACTTTGTACATTTCTTAGCCGTCCTTTGCAAAACAACAACGTGAAATCACCAAAATTTGCGTCGTTTGCGAACCGAAACCGCGGCGGTAAATTATTTTAATTTACATTTGGAACTCAACGCTACTTTTATGCGTTAGGTCGAGTTTGAGGTCTGGCGCCTTATAAGACGGTAAACACATGCAGCCATTTTCGAAATTCTAACTAAAAGTAGAAACTCATTTTTTAATCGACGTCTCCCGTGGCGACGCCGTGTTCCCTATTTATTACACTGGTGAACAACAACACTAATATATAGATTTAGCCGAGCCTAAAAGCGGAGCTCCCAAGTTCGTAATATTAATGATAACATAAAAGATGTACATTTGCCAAGACTCGCCTGAGTCACCCCTCTCTTGGCACGTACGTACGCTCGGTCAGTCACGTGACAACCAAACGAAAAGAGGTTGACCATATTCCATGGGTATGGTGCTCTGCCTCCTGCGCGCTTCGCGCGCGTGGGAGCCCCGCTACAAGATGGCTGGCCGCCCGAAACTCGGTCACGTGACCCGCAAGGCGAGAAACTAGACTAATTCATGTAAGCATACTCTTTACATCTCCCTCCCTAAGTCAAATAGTCAAGCAACTATAAATGCAGACAACGTTGATGATAATAAAAGAAAGAAAGAAATAACACAATGTTCAAATCTGCCTTGAGAAAGTCTAGTGAATTAAACGCCCCTGCAAAACTATACATAATAAAAAAAATACAAAATAAAAAAAGGCACAAAGCAGAGTCAATGTCTTAATTGAGCACTCGTAATCTTTTAGCCACACTGGGGGGCAGCGGTCCCGCACTGGACGACCTTCAGTGTGTGGCGGCTGAGCTGGGCTAGATTCAAACAGTTCAATAGGATCGGTCGTGTCGAGGTTTGTTTCCACTGACTCCGGTAACTCCTCGGATGTTCCCCTGAGCCATTTACGGTTCCGACGATAATATTTTCTGTTCACCTCAACCAAGTGGGAACGGGTCCCCTCCTCTCCAATGACGCGCCCCAATGACCACTCTTTCTCGTTTGGAAATCGCATTCTACTGGCATCACCTTCACGCAATTTTGGCAGTTCGTGTGAGTGACGATCATAGTAGTGTTTCTGCTTCTGTTTCCTAATCTTGATCTTTTCAGGGACATCAGTTATCACCTGTGGGGTTAACAAATGCTTGGCTACTGGGAGACGGGTGCGTGATCGCCTTCCATATAGTAACTGAACAGGAGAAGCATTCATGCCCTCAGTTGGTGTGTTGCGCCACTCAAGTAACGCCACCAGAGGATCATGCTTATCAGCTCGGGCTTTGGTCAGCAATGACTTGCAAGTCTTGACTGCATTATCAACACGACCATTACTTTGTGCGTGATAAGGGTTTGATGTGATGCGGTGAAAATCTCATTCCTTACTAAAGGTCTTGAAATCTTCACTGTTGAAAGGAGGCCCATTGTCACTGATGACGGTGACAGGAATACCATGCCTGGAAAACCAAGCCTTTAGAACAGTGATAACTCAGGTGCTGGTGGTGCTACTCATATCTTGCACTTCAAAATAACCAGAGTAGTAATCAACGGCTATCAAAAATGATTGCCCATCCAGCACAAATAGATCAACACCAACTTTCTCCCATGGCAAATTAGGCACACAATGAGTCTTTAAGGGCTCTTTACATTGTTCAGGCTTATAACGGTTACAGATTCCACACCTAGACAAGTGATCTTTGAGCTGGGCTGAGTCCAGGTCAGTCAACAATGTCACGTGCACGACGCAAGGTTCCTCCTACTCCAATATGTGATTCATGCAGGCTCTTCACAACACCAGAATGCTCTTTAAATGGTATCACAAGGCGATGGCCCTTGTATACTAATCCATCTTCTATGGTCAGTTCATCACGGCTGTTCCAATACAGCTCTATTACTTGCCTCCGATGCCTGTCATATTTGCGAGTTCCTTACAGGGTCTCTGGCCAACCCTCATGAATAACATCAGACAACATCTGTAATTCTTCATCCTTGGCAGTCTCCTCGCGCAGCTTTTCCGGACGAGTGGGGGAGACACTCAGATCTTCACCATGCTTAATCTGCTCTCACTCAAAAGTGAAAAGTCGTTCTCTGATAGAACGGACGTCACTGTCCTGTGTCTGACTCACTAGTTCATTTTCCAAGTATGCGCGCCTTTATGTGTCTGCTAAGAACAGGGTCTCACCTTTCTTGTATTCCACTTGGATGTCATAGTTCTACAGGCGAAGGCGCATGCGTTGGAGGCGTTTTGGCGAACTGTGGATTGGTTTCTTGAATATGGTTTCCAGCGGCTTGTGCTCTGACTGCACAATTACATTGCTCCGTCCAAAAATGTACTGGTCAAACTTCTCACATACATAAACTATAGCGAGTAGCTCTTTTTCAATCTGAGGATAGTTTTCTTTAGTTTGAGTCATCACATGAGAGCTGTACGCCACTGGGCGCTCCTCTTGTAACAGAGCTGCGCCAAGTCCTTTTTGAGAAGCACCACATTGAATTACCACTGGTTTATTCATGTCATAGTAGACAAGAACTGGTGCAGATGCAATCATTTCCTTGACATGGGCCACAGCATCAGAATGACTTTGGAGTCAACACCATTCAGCATCCTTTTCAATGAGTTTTCTCAAGACTTCTGTTTCTTCGGATAGACGTGGGAAGAATTTCGCCAAGTAGCTCACCATGCCCAGGAACCTACGTAAAGACTGAACATCAGTTGGGTCTGGCATCCCCACAATTGTTTCAACCTTGGGTGGATATGGTTTCAGTCTCTCAGGGGTTAGAAAGTGTCCGATGAAAGGAACTTCTTGCTGTCTCAGTCGGGCTTTCTTCTTGTTCAACTTCAGGTTTCTTTCACAGCAGCGGTCCAGAAAGGTACGCACATTTCGGTCATGGTCTGTCTGCCAGTCATCAGGTGTGTTACCAAATCCAACCATCACAAAATCATCTGCAATAACTTCTACTCCATTAAGCCCCTCGATATGCTCTCGCATTTTGCGCTTCCAAACTTCTGGTGCACTATTGATGCTGAATGGCATTCGCTTCCAACGGTATCGGCCGAAAGGAGTGTTAAATGTAGTACACTACTAGACTCATCGTCAAGTTCCAGAGACCTTTACTGGCATGAAAAACACTGAACAGTTTTGCCCCATTCAGT